TATATATATATATATATTCATATACGAGTATATATGAATAAGTGTATTCATATATGAATACATATATTCGTACATGAATAAGTATAATGGAAATGATTATTCATATATGAATATGGCGACGGTGGATGGTGGCGGAGGTGACGGTTGTTGGTGGTGGTTGGTTGTTGAGGGGGTGGTGATAACGGTGGTGGTTGGTAGCGGTGATGATGGTTGGTGGCGGAGGGAGGTGGTGGTTGGTTAATGCACGTGGATTGATGTAAAACTTATGGTTATAAGTTATTTTAATGTATTTAGAATGATCTACAACTTGTTTTAATGTGTATTTTAATGTTTGAACTTGTGGACATCTTATTCTTGATTTGTGTATGTAGGTATGTCTACGAAAATACGAAAAAATATGAAAATTATAGAAACCGGTTTATTTAACGGTCGAACCGGTTAAACCGAAAACCGATTACCATACCGGTTCAACTAAAAAACCGGTTTTTAAAACATTGGACATAATGATATTTAGTACTTGAACAGTATAAGAAGTATAAAAGACTTGTAATATTAAATATAAATGCGGAGCAAAATTGTTAGATTTATAAGTGATCAACCAGATATTTAATACTTGTGTGTAGAAATAGAGACAGTGAGAAACCGTACAGTGCGGTGGGCTGGGAGTCGAAAGAAAGAAAGCATTTAAGAGAGAGATCTTTAGTGCAAGATTTTTCAACTCCATACAAGACTCCATTTTAGCTTACATCATCACAAAACCCACAGTAGTCACTGTTTACAAACAAACCCTACTCACTGCAACCAAACAGTAACCACTGTAAACGTATGGTCATCCATCTCACTTACTTGCCTTCCCCTTCCCTTTTTTTACCTGTTTACTTGTTACCTTCCTTTCACACAAACAAAAGCAACATACTTTCTTTCCCAAATCCCATTCCCCCAAAAATGGTTAAAAAAGCAACACCTTTTCCTGTTTCTTGGGGTTTTCATCAAATCCATCATCCATTCCATTGATTCATTCAACAGAACGGAATCAAGATTTTTTTTTTTGTGATGATTGCAGGATTAGAGAGAGAAACATGCAGGGAACTGGGCCCCTTTTCTTTCAGGTTAAAGCCTGCAGCAGAAATGAGTGGCACTGCACCATTTAAGGCAGGAGGGTGGGTTGGGTTACCTCTCTCTTCTCTTTCTCTCTCTTTCTGTGTGTGTTTGTGTGTGGGATGGTAGTCTTGAAATTTTTTGATGGGTCCATTTCTAGTTCCATTATTGTTTGATATCATGTAATTCTACCACTGTGTGGCCTCTCCCCCTGTTCTTTTGGCTTTTTGGAACCAGACTTTATATGCTTTTAATGGGGTAGCTTACAAAATAAACCCACAAGTGACCTCCATTTTCATCACCGATTTGTCGTCTTTGTCTTTGCTTTTACAAATCCTGTGGGTATTCTTCTGTTTTGCGTGTTTGCTTCAACTCGTCGACTCAGAGGAAAGAGGAAAGGGAACAGTAGTAGCAGTAGTGATCATCATCATGATTCTCTACTCAACTTTCTGGTTCTTGGTTTCTGTTTCTGGTTCTGGTAAATCATTGAATTTGTAATAAATATCACATCTTTTTCTTGTCCATGCAAAGCCATAATAAACCCACTCACCATTATTTAATTCTCCCTTTTTGCTCTTGTTTTTTTATTGGCTCAAAAGCTAAGATCCTAAGCAAACACCCACCGTAGGCCACATGTCTCTCTATTTATCACTGTTGACATCCCTTTTGGTATAGTACTCGATCCCAATTCCAATTTTTCTTCGCTTCCTTCCTTGCTTGCTTGCACACCAATTGCTTGATTAATGTCCTCTGAGAGAAGCTATATCTAGTACTCCTTGCTACTTACCACTTTGCAGGGGTCAAGTGTCAACACTCAACAACGGAGAGATCCCATTCACATCCCCAAATCAAAAAAGTAAAAAATAAACCCCCTTCTGGCGGAGGGTAGGCTACTGTTTCTTCATCTCATCTTCAAAGGTTTGGTAATTGATACTTTACTTCAATTATGTTTCTATCTTCCTAATTTTGACTTTTGGTCAACCCCCTTTTCACTTCCCCACTAGGACCTCCAATAGAAAAAGGAATTGCTTTTAGCATTCCTTTTTGTATCAATAGTGTTGATTCTTGATAGTATGGATTATACCACTAATCCATGCAAAAAAGAACTTGTGCTTTATGTATTGTATTCTAAATAAAAAACATGGGTACCATTTCATTTGTCGTATTTAAGTTAAGGTACTACTATTACTATAGACATATACTTGAAGAAGAAGGGATACAAAAGACCTTTTGATGTGTACCCATATATATGATGAAGGATTTTTGATATCTGAGATGAGAAAATTTGACACATGATAAGATAATTGATATGGCAAGGGGAATGTTAAAATAGTCTTGTCCACTGTTTTCCACAGGGATGTGATGTTGAGAGTTGGGCTTTGAGAAGTCACTTCTTGCCAGTCAGAAATCTTACATTCCAACTAGGAATGTGTCTTAATGTTTTATCTTTTGGGTGCACCATTTTTGTTGGACACTGTTTTGAAACAGGAAATCTGTAAATGGGTATGCTCCACGAGACAACGATGGAGTGATTCCGACTTGTGGAATCACATTATTATCTCATCCTTATGATTCTTCTTGGTGTTGTAGGTAAAATCCGTTATGGAAAACAATGGATTCAATTGCAATATGCCAATGGGTATGGCAGGTGGGTGTGAGAGCTTCATCGTCCCAGATGAAAGCTTTCAAAAAGCTTTCGTTTATCAAAACCACCATATGATGCCCGGAAATGGATTTCCGATAAACGCTACAGAGATTTCAAATCCCACCGACAGTTTCCCTTCGATTGGTCATATGGATATTCCGATTTCCGCTACAGCTCTTGCAGCCCTTCTTGCCTCCAGACACGGTCAACACGAAAGCTCAAGTCTACCATCTTTCGGTCAACCTCTTGGAATCCCGAATTCCATGCCATATAATGGGTCGGAGAATTTTGTGTATGATGGGATGATTGGAGTTGGAATTGGTGATATGAATCGGAAATGGGAATACAACACTACTACAAATAGCATGGGTTTAGATGGTAATGAGCTGTCATTGAGTCTTGCCACGTGTTCTGGCATCAGTAACCTTTCCTTACAAGGAAGACAGTTGGGAAGCTTAGAACAAGCCAGTTCCTGCAACAGTAGAAGTCTTTCGTTAGGGTTCGATTCTAATTCTATAACGGATAAACCGCTCCAAGTTTTGCAATGTTCATCTGGATCCAACGGTTATCTTCATACGATGCAACAAATCCTCACGGAAATTGCGACTTACTCACTTGGAAACCTTGACCAGGTCAGCTATAAACCGATGATTGCTCCCGATGAATTTTCAGATGGAAACAACAAATACGAATATGATGATCATAGATTTGTTCATGCTTTGAAAGGGCGAAGTGTCGAAGCTAAAAAGAAGCATTTGCTCGCCTTACTAGAAATGGTACGTCTACGTCATTTATAATCCAGATTAATTTGATTTTGACTTGTGAATTTGGTGAAATTTGTTTGTTGACAGGTGGATGAGCGGTATAACCAGTGTTTAGATGAGATACATACGGTGATATCGGCATTTCATGCTGTAACAGAATTGAATCCGCAAGTTCATGCCTGTTTTGCTCTTCATACGATTACGTTTTTCTACAAAAGTTTAAGAGAGAGGATAAGTAATTATATACTTTCAATGGGGGCGGATTTTAGCACCATGGATCAAGGAGAAGATGAGCTGTCGTCTTTTGTACCCAAGCAATGGGCTCTTCAGCAGCTAAGAAGAAAAGATCATCAGCTATGGAGGCCGCAAAGAGGGCTTCCGGAAAAATCTGTTTCTGTGTTGCGTGCATGGATGTTTCAGAACTTCCTTCACCCGTAAGCTTTTCATTCATCACTTTCATTTCATGTTTGATGTTAAATTAGAGTTTAAGATTTATGGATCTGATTCTTGAATTCACAGGTATCCAAAGGATGCGGAGAAACAATTATTGGCTGTAAAAAGCGGATTGACAAGGAGCCAGGTACACATTAAGCCTCGTTTTTCATGTTAATTTACATCAGCTGCCACTGACTACTGACTAATGGAGATTAATGGAACAGGTATCGAATTGGTTTATAAATGCGAGGGTGAGACTATGGAAGCCCATGATTGAGGAAATGTACTTAGAGATGAATAGGAGGAGGAGAAGTGACGAAGAAACAGCAAGTAATAACCACAGAAATCAGCAATATGAATATCATAGTTGAAGAAGAAAAGATGACTATTCATTTCTTCCTTGATTAATTCTATGTATCTTCTAATTATCATTAGCCATTTTCTGTACTTGAATCTAAGTGTACATCCACGAATAAAAAATGGTATATATTATTGTATCTATTACAAAAGCACCAAATCTGTGCATGCATGTTCTACTACTATAGGATTACTACAACTCATAAACCCTAATTCACAATTCACAAAGAACACTGACCAGATGAATATGCATATACATGATAATGTCTAATTTGTTCTTGGAGTGCCACCCATGGTGATCAAGGATTTCTTTGAGAGGTTTATAATTGAATCAGCAATCACTTTGGCACTTGATTTCATATAACCACCTGAAATCTCACAAATTACAGCTCCTTAACTTCCTTCCTTTTCAACTTGTTAATAAAAAAAGAGAAAGTCATGGAAGTTGTGAGGACCTGATGTCAGCATTACAAGTGGGATGTTCTTGTCATGGGCAAACCTGAATACCTTCTCATCTCTAATTGCTACCCCATTAGGACTTATCTGATCATGACATACCCTTAATTTAGCATAATTATTAAGACAAATCAGAGATATTTTTAATGGGAAGATATAAATTTAGCATTACCCTGAGTCTTCCTAATGGATCTCCATCTAAAATATCGGTTCCAGCATTGTAAATGACAAGTTGAGGATCAAATGCATTTCCTGCAACCTAATATTTCACTCCAAGGATCAATGAATATTGTAGTCTTGTAACTCTACATGCTTAAAAAAAGACTTAATTACCTCAAGTGCTTCATCCAGCTTCATCAAGTACTCATCTGTTGTGGTTCCACTCTGATGACAACATAATAAGAATGTGTAAATCCCTGAAGCACAGCCATCAGAAGAACTTATAGAACAAAAAATAATCCAACTTACAGGAACTTCAACTGGCTGATCAATATATCTCCTGGCCTCATAATCCTAAATAAGAAATGAAATGGAAATGATTATTTTTGAGTTCAAAATTGAAGTTTATGTATATGATTTAGAAGAAGACAGCTCACAAGTGGATAGATATATGGATTGTACATATCCAGAATGTAGACTCTTCCTACAAGTAACCAGTAGATACAATGAGTTGACTCAGTTTGTGATGTGGAAAAACAAGAATAGGAAGCAATAGCATACTGTCATCTGAAAAATCCTTTTCGTGGCCATTTCCTTGATGAGCATCCAGATCAATTATCATAACCCTGCATTTCGTTTCAAATTGAGAGAATTAGAAATATGCCAAGTAAGTTAAGGTTTTATGATATCATTGGTAAATAAATAAATACCTTGAAATATTTAGACGGATAAAAGCATAGTGGATGCAAAGAGATATGTCAGCATATGCACAAAATCCTCCTCCTCGATTTGCACAACAATGGTGGAATCCACCACCTACATTGATGGCACAACCTCTCTCTTTAGCAAGTTTAGCTGCTAGAATAGTTCCTCCCACCTAAATCCAATTCTTATCAGTAACATTTGTAGCATGTGAAATAAAATTAATATGAAAACTTTCATATCCCATATTGTTACCTGTTTACGAAATGGATAAAGAACCTTCTTCTGAACAATGCAGTTAGGGAATAATGCAACAGGAGGGACCTAAAACTCATAGAAATGAAAAATAAAATCACAATAAGGTCCATTTCCCATATCATTTCACAATAAGATAGTATTACCCCACCTCTGTAATTATGGAGACATTAAGACTACTTTTGAGACTTTTCAAGTATGATTCTGAATGAACCTGCCACACACAATAATCTTTAAAAACTTCATTACAAAAGGGGGCTTTGTTTGAAGGAGAGTGATGTTCATGTTCCATTAATTAATGATAAGAGCAATGAAGCAAACATTATATTCAAAAGAACATGACTAATACCACTAGAAGATCATCCTTGGTTGCTTCTAGAGGCTCAACTATATGGGTTTTCTCCAAAACGCCATTTTCAATGAGGAACTGGCATATGCGACCCCATTTAGAAGAATCAAATGGGTGCCTGCATTGACAATTTATTATTAGTTAGACAACAAATGAAGCTCAATGTCAGAAAACACTGATTTGCACACACCAAGGTATGGAAATACTGTGAGCATAATAAATAAGCAAATGTGGGCCAGTTTACACATACCAAGATATGGAGATACTAAATTTTTTATTCCCAAGTTTTTCCCCAACCCACAAGATCCAGATGATCTTTACCCAACATCGAACTAGCACTTCTTACTATTTGTCATAAAGTTCCATCTAATAACACCTATGTTTTCCTTCTAAAGAGCCAAACATACCTATCAATCCAATCAAGAAATTTGAAGTAATATATTTGAAATTCACAGTGAATTGTAGATTTGTAGTTTTGTTTTTAAATTTATAGTAGGAGGAAGTATCATCTCTATCAATAGGAAGCCACCATTTCTTTGGACGCTTAAAGCTTGATGATCAGAATCAGCAAGTTAATGAACAAACTAAGGTATTAAGGTATTGGTATGTATATACTTACAGTTTTTCAATTCCAAGAAAAGAAATATCATAAGAAGTCGAATAGATTATTGGAGCCTGATGAACAAGAAGAAAAAAAATTAATATCATCCAAAAACTAACTAAGAGATCAATTGTAAAGTTCGTATGATGAAATTTTCGTGCAGGAAGAAGAAAACATTAAATTTCGAAGTTAAATCTAAAATAAACAAAAGAACACAATCACTCGACTACTTAACCTTCGGATTACAAACCTTCGAGACAGGTACATCAAAGTAGAGCGTGCTCGATAAAATTCGATTCCGACGAAGTGTATCGGCATCTTCAGAGGTTGTTGTGGCACAATTTGAAGAAGAAGAAGGAGCGGAGGCTCCGGCGGTTGAAGACATGGTTAGCGAGGGGAGAAGATATCGGCGGGTTTTATCAGAAGTGCTTGATGTCGGCCTGCAGGGGTGGAGTCGTAGGAGACGTAGCGCCAGCGGTAATCCAGTAACGGTTGTGACGGGCGGTGGTTTTGGGTTTGTGACGAGAAAGGCGAAGGTACAATCCTTTAAGCACAGGGTACATCCGGAACAAAGCGTTACCATACCATAGGTGGATGGATGTGGGGGGGCACGAAGATCCCTTTGTCCGGTCCAACCAATTTTATCCACTAACTTTTAAATTTTAGGGGAATTTCGTATATGGCTTGCTAAACAACTAAATATTGTATTTACCCAGCCTAAATTCTAAATATCGTATTTGTCCTTCTTAATGTTTTATAATATCATATATACCCAAATCTATTTTTTATTAAT